CGGGCGGGCCTCGTGGAAGCCCCCCGCCCTCTTAGAAGCTCTCCCGCCTTCTTGGAAAGCCGTCCCTCTCGCGCCAGACCCTAGTGCGCGTCGTCAACCTTGCGAGGACGCCAAGACGTGCCGAACGGCCCCGCACGGGCAAGCTGTGCGACCAGAGCCCCTGGACCCCCTGGTGTCCTGGCAGAGGCCAGGACGGCCGCACTTCGCACACGTGTGTGGGGGCCAGAAGGGAATCGACCACGGCACGGACGTCCGTGCGGAAGACGGGGTCAAGAACATCCGAACACCACCAGGACGCCGATGGTCTTGGAGTCTCTACCGCAGCACCTCTACGGCGCCCATCCTGGGCCCAACTCTTAAGGGATCGTGGCATTCCAGCATGCGCGGGAACGGACGTCCACCCAAACCCTGGCCGACGACACAGCCACAGCGATGGTCAAGATCCCGCCGGCCAGAGCAACCCAGGCCAGCCTGGTAACCAAATCTTGCGCGCTCAGCCCCAGGTAGTCGCAGGGGGCTGAGAAGCTGGACAAGCTCCGAGTGAGCTGCCGAAGAAGTGCTGGGCTGTGAAGAGGGGTTGTCTCGGCATGACCGACGCGACTGTAAATAATAGCCACTGGAGCCCAGACGACTTTCCCTCTCCCATGTACCGGGCGTGCCGTGCTCCAAGTTGTCGATGAGCGCGACCTCTGGCAGTCCCACGCCCGCACGAGACGATCTGCACTCCCCCCTCCCCTTCGCTCCCCTCCCTGAGGATTCGGCCAGAACGCGGGTGAGCTTTCGCTCTCACGTTGCCTGCAATCACCGCGCTACCAGAAGGAACGTTGGATGAGAAAGGACGAGTGGGCTTCCTGACCACGGCCAGGTTCCCCGACCGAGGTCTGAGGAATGGCCCCAACACCAGAGCCCCTCCTTGGCCCGAAGTGATCCTTCTTTCGGCGTCTTGACAGCAATCTCATTGAGAATCACGATTCGCGCTGCAAGGAGTGCGCTCACCTTCGTACTCTCGCGCGGGCCCCTTTAAAGGGGCAGTTCTGTGTCCTGAGCCGCGAGGCGAGGTGATCTTCACGCACGTGCGAATGGCTTGGGCTACCTGAATGGCTGCTCGATTTTGCTGGGGCGTCGCCAGATTTCTTGCTGATCGGGATCCTTGCTGATTCTGAGCGGAACCTTCGGATTCGCGGGACGATGCGGTGGCCAACGCGGATTCAGGCGAGGTCTTCCCAGAACAGTGGACCTTGGAGCTATCAGGCGCTCGTCTACTCACGGTGCGGAGCCACATACCTCTCCCAGGTCTTCTGCACTCCCCTCACTGCGAAGGGGGGGGAAAGGTCAAGGGAAAAGGCACTGTATAGGACGGAGTAATTAGCGCGGCAACCCCGTTTCTGGGACGTTGGGGCTGAGAATCGTACATGCGCTCAGGCATAGTGTTGCGAGCCATAGGAAAAACAAGGAAGCAGAAAGTGATAGGACGCATGTGAATGAGACAAGGTGATCCCTAGACCCAAGGATCCCCATACCCCATACCGATCACCAGGTCCGTCGTGCTTGGGCATGGACGGCCCCCTCAGAATCTCTCCTACTTCTTCTTCTCCTCCTCTTCCTCCTCCTCCTTCTCGTCCTACTTCATTACAACAGCAAGCGGACGCAAGCCCTTTGCGAGGGCTAGAACACTCATCAGTAGTTCGGGTGGACGGTGAGTTCGAGTGGAGCTGGAGGAACAGCAACAACCAACATCAAGCGAAGAAGACCCAACGTGACTGCGTACTCGCGCAACTTGACAAGGCTGACAAGCAAGAACGGCTTATTGGTATACGGGACATTTCCTCATATCGGGGCGCGGTGAAGTCGCTGAGCCGCACGAACGCTGGTCCTCTTGCGATCCACGACGGGTTTGATGGCCGCCGGGAACTCGCATGTCTTTCCGAACATTACAGCAGGCTGCACGGTGGTGTAACTTCGAGCGCACCTCAACGTGTCCCTACCCCGTCTGGTGCACGAAGAGTCTGCCGAGGTCGCTTGTCCGCAGGTCCTGGGTCGCATGGTGATCTCCACGTAAGCTTTGACTCTTGGACACAGTGACCCTAGTAAATCCATGCTTGCAGATCGATGCTCTGTCCTTGCGCGCGTTCTCCGTAACAGGCCACATCAGAAAAGAGTGCAATCCACCAGATGAGACAGAGCGCCCGCAGAAAAGGAATACCCAGACACGCGTCTCGTGTGGGACCGACCCTCTCTCAGCCCACAAGCAGGTCCGCTGCCCATTCGTCTCTCAATGGCCTCGGCGAACAGCTGCATGCCGGCGCGGCCACCACCATCGACGAGTCGCGTCAATGCAGAGACACAGCGGCCTGAAATTACTTCGTCGCTGACGCATGGTATGCCCTCAGTGACGCTCTTTGAACGGCGTCGACGCATGACTGGACGTTTTGGCGGGCGTCTTATGAAACACGCTCGCGTAGGAACCACCCGGCGCTGGAACCACCCTTCAATACACGTAGACGGAAGACACTGGCCACATACTTCACGTCTGTTCCCTCCATCGCCGTGAGTTCCGCACAACCAGCAGATGTACCTGGAGTGATCCAAGGGGTTCCATCCCAGCACTACACTCCTCAAGAAATCGTGCGACGTCATAAAACATATTCCACGCTAGTGTATAAGTATGCACATATTGCCAACGCAAGAATGTGCTGACATACGCTGGAGGCTTCTTCAGCGTGATATGCGTGTTTACGATGTCCTCTTTGGCTCCAAACACCACGTGAACCGAATATTGCCTCCGCATATGTGCCCAACATATCCTAACGCAAATGAGCCTGGCAAATCCACAGACCCGTCCATGTACCTGGTGTTCCATGTGTATCCCTCCTCCTCCTCCTCCTCCTCCTCTCCCTCGTACTCGCCCTCCTCCCTCTTCTCCTCCCCCCTCGTCTTCATCCATGTCCTCCCCATTTTCTCGTCCCTCCCTCCTCCTCTTCTAGGTCCCACTCCTCCTGTTTCTTCCCTCTATATTCATCCCCTTCTCTTCTCCTCCTTTTTCCTCCTCCATTCCTTCTCCTTCCCTGCTCCCCTTCCTCCTCGTCCTCTGGCTCCCTCTCCTCCTCCTCCTCCTCCTCCTCCTCCTCCTCCTCCTCCTCCTCCTCCTCCTCATCTCCTCCCTGCCCAGACTCCGTCCTGAAGATGGCTGGTTCTCTCCGCGTTTTGTCTTCTACACACTGGACCACAATCGTTGAACAGCTCATTGTCTTTACAATTCGATTGTGTTCGGTGTTTCCAAACGGTGCTCCCGCTGAAGTGTGGGCCTACTCTTCATATTGGCGCTTTGCTCCCGTCGTGCAGAATGGCAATCTCGCCCCAGCGCGGGCCACTTTTCTGGATCCGAATCCTTTTCATCGTTGTCGCCCCCCTCATTCCTCACCTGCGCCTTCCCCTGGTCCTCCCGCTCCTCCCGCTCCTTCCACTCCAGTTCCTGCTGCTGCTGCTGCTGCTGCTGCTGCTGTTCGTCCTCCTCTTTCCACATCCTCATCTTTTTCCTCCTTCTTTTCCTCCTGCCCATCCTCCTGCTCACCCGCCTCCTCCTCCTCCTCTTCCTCTTCTTCCTCCCATGAGTCCAGCTCCCCCTTTTCCGATGGCGCATACCACGATGGGGCCTTTTGTGGAGCTCCAAGTCTGCTATGACACGCGTCCGCGGATAGAGACAACTCGCGCAATGGGCAGGGATGCAGGGAGGAATAGGATGTCACATGTGGCGCGAGGGCACCTAGCTTGTCCTCCCTCCCTCTCTCTCCTCCGCATCCTCTTCCTCCTCCTCCTCCTTCTCGTCCTCCTCCTCCTCCTCCCCACCTCCTCCTCCTCCTCCTCCTCCTCCTCCTCTCCACCTCCTCCTCCCTCTTCCCCTGCTTCTCTTCCCCCCCCCATCCTGCCTCTCGAGTGCCGCCCCACGGTTCTCGCGCCACGCGGGCACCCCCCGACGCTCCCCCCCCTGGCCCGCCCAGGGCCCCGAGGAGAGGGACCCCCCCCCCGAGGGCTGCTCCCCGAAGGGCGCTCCACAATCCCGCCCCAGGGGCGATGGCCGCCCCAGAGACCGGAGGCTCCCGGCCTTCCCTGGCATGCAGTCCACCCGTATCAGAACGACGCACGACAAGGGTGCGAGGGCCTTGGAGGGCCATGTTGACGTTCTTCGAACGAGGTTGGCCAGCGAAAGTCGCTAAGGATGGGCCGAAGGGGCACGGATGCAAGTGGAACCTTGGGAAATAGCTCATCTTTACTATATGGGTGCGCCCCCTCTTGCTCGGCACGCCCTCCACGCAAGTGAGGGGGCAAGACGAAGCCAAGACGAGGACAACACCTGGTGAGGATACAGTCAGCCCGCAGACTAAGGACGCACAATAATGATGCAAGGGCATCGGGGGGCCATGCCCACACTTTGCGGGCGGGGCGCGGCCGTCAAACGCGGCCGCCAAGGATGGACCGAAGGGCAAGCATGCAAGGGTAACCTCGGAAAGTCGCTCATCCTTACTATGGGGTTGACTATATCCTGCGCCCCCTTTTGCTCGGCACGCCCTCCACGCAAGGGGGGGGCAAGAAGGAGCCAGGACGTGGACAAAATCGGGTGAGGATGAATCGAGAATCTCTGAGGTCCAGCGGATCTGGAAAATGTCTCGGGCGCCGCGGCCTTCTCAGAGCGTTCCGGAACGCTCTGGAACGGATTTATCCTCGTCCTAGGAGAAGCTGCTGGCGGTGCCGCGCCGCAAGACGCCCAAGATTCGGGTGTTGCCAGAAGTGCCCCTGGCCCGAGGTGCCCCCAGGATTCCCAAGGAGGCCCCCGCGGCCTCCAGAGCACCCCTCACGAGGCCCAGAGGGCCCCAGGGGCTCCAAAATTGAGCGAAAAGCTGGGGGCACCTTGGGTCAGGGGCATCTTTAGCAACCCTCGGCAGATCGTCCCTGGCGCCCCTGCGCCGGACCAGCCGCGTCAGGTGCTCGGCGTGCTTGGCCAT